TCACCAAATTGCGGTAGAGGCGCATGGGCATTTCTGCAGGACCACAAAGTCCACCCCTTCTTTAAAAGCTTTCTGGATCATAATCCTGTATTTTAGCTCTGAGCGCAACACAGACCGCTTCATTCCTCTTAAGGGCAAAAATATTTGCATCTTGCATAAAATTCCTTTTTAAAAGAGTAACAGCGACCTCATTGACGTCAAGGTAGTTATTTCGCGGTGGAATTTCGTCTTCAATGATCCCCCTTGACGATATCGACTGCAGAACTGAAAAGTAAGAAACCTCGGAAGTTTGATCATGAGCGACGTACTTAGATGAGGCGTGAATCAACAGTCATTTTGATTTGGATGTTGGGCAACGTTATAGAGATGGACCCCACTTAACTGTCAGTAGACTGTGGCTCGTGCCATACGTGATTTATGGTAAAGGGAATTTTATTGGTGGGGCAGCACGCTAGACAGTAAGCTGACAAAATGAAAAAACGCAGAAATTGACTGATTTATGCCGAAAGACTTATCCTACGCCATTGTGCGATAACGGGAATGAGAGTAATAATTAAAAAATAAACAAAAAGTAAATTTCACAAAATAACGGATTCTGAGTTATGGTATGAGGTCGTGGGAAGTAATCGTTGTTGGTAGCGTAATTTGTGCAACAGCCTTCAAATGTATGCCAAGATAAAATCCCATATGGCACGATCCACAGTCTACTGACAGTTAATTGGGGTCTTTCTCTATACGGTTGCCGGATGTTGAATGCAACACACAATGGTATTAAACGCAGCCAATCACGAGGGAGGGGGCGAAACGGGCACGTATTGGTGCAGTCTTCGGCCGCATCATATGATCATTCATGGGGCTTGCTTAAATAATTAGCTGTTTTTTTCATATCATCACACATATGACTAAAAAATAACAGTCCGATCTCGATAGTTTACACAATAAACTTTTCTCACCTCCAAAAAGACTTTGGCGTCTTGCGATACTTGAAAATACATACAAACTGTTTTAATTTCATGCTAACTCTTCTGCTAGCTGTAAGTATTTGTGTTTGAGTTCTTAATGTTCATTGGCAACTAGTCACGGTTGCATGCTCGTCTCTGTTTCTCATAAAACACGATTTATTTTGATAGAACAGGTTACGTGTTTGCTGTAAAACCGCCTTGGTGAGCAGTTCTAGCTCGATAAGCACGTTCTACCGACACAAACTAACCACCCCATGCAGTGGATTATTTATGTAGGCCATAGGCTGGCACGCTAGCCTGCAGTCGGTTGACAAATAAGGCATTTAAGTGTTAAACGAGCCTGCAACTAAGCTTTAGAAACTAAACTTTGGACCGGACCTAACTGTTCTGAGTACCGGTTCGACCAATAACTTTGGAGATAACTGTAGACTTTGATAACAAAACTGGAGTGGAATCGGGAAATAGGGGGACGCTGTGTGACTTACTGGGGGGACTGAAGGCCTAGTGTCCTTCTTCATTTTAGAACATTCTTTGTGAACAAATTTTTCAAATCTGCCAAAAATCCGATAATTAACTGGGACTGGTAGACGTCTGGTGGACTCTAGATTGAATACCTACAAAACCTCGCCTGGATAGCCAACTTACTATCTCAGAATTGGTGGATTCCATACGCTGCAGTAT